AACTGCAACCGTCCTCGCGTTTACCGTCCAGCAGACCCACAAGTCGCTTCCACTCAAGCAAGTCCCCCAAGGCGCTCTTCAACATCTGCACAACAAACACCAAACATTATCAATTGCATGGTACACATCGACAACTGCGCACCCGGATCACCACCCACCTACGCGCCAGACGAAGAAGAGCTGCCGCCACCGCGCTCACAAGGCCTTCAAGTCAATCCAACATATGCTGCGGTCGCCAACGCCGAACCCACCGGGCGAAATACCTGGTTCTTGGACAGCTGCTGCGGTCAACACATGTGCTCCTCGGGACGCTTCGTGCAACAGGAGAAACGTCTCAACCGCGACGTCGTCATCACCGTCGCCAACAACGAAAACCTGAAGACAAACAGACAAGGCGTGGTTCAGTTACAATCCATGGAGACAAACGTCATACTTCAGCTCAACAAAGTGCTCATTGTCGACAATCTGGGATACAACCTACTAAGCGTAAGCCAACTAATGGCCAAGGGGATTCACCTGGAGTGCGACTCCTACTCCAACGAGTTTCGGCTTTACCACGGGAAGGGCGGCCTCTTCATCGGTCGTGCCCTCCTGAAGTCCGGCGTCTTCGTGTTGGACTTCGTCCCCGACCGCGGTACTGCCGACAGCGACGGTATCGTATCGTTCGCCGCCTGGACTCACCCGCCCGATCTTGATCCCGACTTCGACAGTGACGGCTTCTGGCACTCCAACACCATACCTGCAGCAGAGAGAACACGAGCATTAGCAGTTATCAGACAAGAAAGACAAGTACCCGCAAGTATCCCAACCAAACCATCACCTGCAGTATCGGCAGCAGGACCCAGCCGAGTCCCACCACCAGCGACCCGAGGACCGCCAACCGAAGCAGACCAGCTTATGCCCATCACACGAGAAGTTTGTCGAAGTCCCGCCTCAGTCGTCGCGTTCTTCTCCAACGCCGACATCTACCACCGCTCGCCCGGTCATCGCGCTTCCGACGACATCTGGCACCAACGTCTCGGACATCCTGCAAACAGCACGATACTACAAACAATCCAAGCAGAGGTGTTAGAACGCAACGCCCTTCTAACGACGAGCGGCCAAGAACTTCGACAACCACGACCACGGTGCTTCACGTGCCCCGAAGCAGATCTTCCTCATCAACCTTTCCCATCTCATCACAACCCAAGCGCACCTACTTACACTCCGATGGAAAAGGTCTACAGCGATATTTTAAACATGCCTCGAGAAGACACCGAAGCCGACTTCAACTACGTCATCACGTTCATCGACGCAGCAACCAGATACGTTTGGCACTTCAATCTCAAAACGGGCGATCAAGCCTTCGAGGCCTTCACCACATGGCTTCCCATCGCCGAACGAGAATCAGGAACCAAACTCAAGAGCTTCCAGTCAGACGGTGCACTGGAATACCAGTCACAACGCTTCAGGACCTATCTGGCGGAAAGAGGAATCCGACGACTGGTGTCTCTGCCCTATGCTCACCAGCAGCAGGGGGTAGCAGAACGCATGAACCGGACCTTGCAGACGACGATGCGAAAACTGCTTCTGGGGATGAGGCTGCCCACCACACTGTGGCCAGACGCGACGACACATGCCGTTCACCTGCACAACCTGCTGTCCTCGTCATCACTTCCCAACAACGCATCACCGCACCTGTTGTGGACAAGAAAAAGGGGCAGCACAAAATTACTACGAGTTTTCGGCTGTATGGTACAGTACAGACCCCACACAGCCCGAGCAGGACGCTTCACACAACGAGCTAGGTGGGGACTACACCTCGGCATCGCAAAACATTTTCACGCGTGGAAAATTCTCGACATACAAGACAAAAATACCGTGGCATCACGTGATGTTATTTTCTACGAGCGACTGACGCTGCAGCATTACCTGGACAACATTGCCAACACACAAGACCCCACCGACGGCTTCTCGGGACTTCGTTCCTTTGCCGACCGTGCTGCCGAAGCTGACGCAGCAGAAGAAGACGTACCTGAAGCCTCGGAAGCTGTCGGACCACTCCCATTCTGTTCCGTACCTGTTCCACTCGACGAAGACAATCCTCTCGATAGCAACAACCTCGACACCTTTTTCCACTTCGCTGACCAAGGTTACATTACACCCCACCCAGTCGACACAAATGTTTCAGAACGCATCGGTCCCAACTTCTTACCTGACCCAGAAGACGGTGACGAAGCAGCTTATTCCGGGAATGAAAATTCCCCTCGACACACACCCACGGGACTGCAGATTCTAGGCCTCTGGGTCTCCGTCCAGCATCCGCCGCCGCCTTCTCCGCGAGAGCCTTCGACCTTGTCGCAGGCTCTGGGGGGGGAACATAAGGCGAAATGGAAGGAAGCGATGGAAAAGGAGTTAAAGGCTTTGCAAGACCGGAAAACATGGAAACTGGTACCTGCAACAAGCATCAACGGAAAAAACGTCCTCTCGGGGAAATGGGTGTACCGCATTAAGACCAACTCAGACGGCTCCATCGAACGATTCAAAGCTCGATGGGTCGTACGAGGCTTCGATCAACGATACGGGACCGACTACACAGAAACCTTCGCTCCAGTCTCCCGTCACACCTCATTACGCATCCTACTCGCCGTCGCGGCCACAAAGACATTACCACTACGCCAAATCGACGTCGCGAACGCGTTCCTATACGCACCTGTGGACGCTGAGATTTTCGTCGAACAACCCTACGGATTCATCAACGACCCCACGAAAATATGCCAACTGACAAAATCCCTATACGGGATCAAGCAAGCTCCGCGGCTCTGGCAGCAGCATCTCCACGGCCGTCTCGCAAAAATCGGATTCCTACAACTGCCGCATGACCAAGGGATGTACCGACTGCAGAAGGGAAGAGAGTATATCCTACTCATCGTCTACGTCGACGACCTGCTCTACATCGGCTCCACTACCGACATCGCTACCTGGTTCGAAGGGGAGCTGAAAGAAGACCTAACACTCACGGTGTCCGACGAAGTGACCCAGTACCTAGGACTGAATGTCGTCGAAGACGACACGGCGTTCTACCTACACGCTGGAAAGTACTCAGGCACCGTCGCGAAGAAATTCGGTCTAACACCGACTACGGTCCCAACTCCCTACCGCTACGGGAACAACAACAGCACCTCCGCAAAACTTCCCGCGAAGCAAATCCAGGAGTATCAACAGAAGCTCGGCTGCCTACTGTTCGCAGCAGTAACCTGCCGACCCGACCTGTCCTACAGTGCGAGTCAACTGGCGACGCATCTGAAGCAACCAGAACAGGAAGATCTCGAGGAGCTCAACCGGGCACTACTCTACTTTGTCTCCACGCCGACGATCGGACTTACCTACAGCAAAGCGACAACACCGTCCGTACGACTACTCGGATACGTCGACGCCGACCACGCGGGAGATAAGGAAAATCGACGATCTAGGACGGGCTATATCTACCGACTAGAACCCATCGGAACTATCTCCTGGCAGTCGAGCAAGCAGGAGTTAATCGCACTATCCTCGGCTGAAGCAGAGTATATCGCCCTTTGTACTGCGACCAAGGAAGGACTCTACCTACGGGAGTTACTCGAGGAAGCGAAGATTGCGACCCTGCCCGCCTTCTCACTCCTCTGCGACAACCAATCTGCGATCAAAATCGCGAACAAGGACGGCTTCGCCAACCGAACCAAGCACATCGCCATGCGGTACTTCTTCGTCAAGGATGAAATCGCGAAGGGGAAACTTCAACTCAGTTACTGCCCAACGACAGAAATGGCCGCAGATTATCTGACGAAGAAATTGGCGAAAGCAAAATTCGACTACTGCATGCTCCTGACCGGGCAAACAAACGTCACCGGATCTGAACACTCCAGCACTCCAGAAACGAAGGGGAGTGTTGGAAATATCTCAAAGGACTTGAGCGTTTCTGAAGTGTAACACTGTACTCGAGGAAGATTACAGGGGAGCACGCGAGTCAAACGGAGGTTACACGAGGGGGCGGACAAAGAATGCGAAAAGACTCGAAAGGTCGCAACTGGAGGTTGCGACTGACCGTTACAACATCACGGATGGTAACCGAAGCGGCAATCGAGTCGCTGTGCGACTCGATAAACCGTTCCTGTAACTGTATTCTACAACTGCCTTCCTATCTTCTATATATTGCTGTATGCTTGCTTCTTTAATTAATCACTTGTTCTCACATACTAGTACAAGGGTTCAACTGCCTCAACTTCCGCTGCACTACTCAAAGTCTCAAAGTCTCTACAACTGGGACTTAGTCTCTGCAAAAGATCCTAAGGGCTTTTCTCAGCCCAATAAGAATCTCCCGTTTGTGGCTCTCTCCTCCTTTTTCTAAAACAGCTTGTGGTGGACACAGACGCACCGTGCACTGTGCCTTCATGTTGACACACCGATGCGGGTGCAGGTCTGAGTGTGAGATGGTTGTTCTACGGTAATAATACGTAGGGTTACATGTCTATAGAACTGGCTGCTAGTGGATGCCTCTTTACCTTGATAGTAGATCAGGTCACGACGAAGTGGGAGTGCCACAGTGTTAAAGAAGCTAGGTAGGTAGAGAAGCCATGGAAACGGCGTGAGGTTTTAGGTGGGAGAAATTGACGAGAGAGAAGAGAGGTTGGACTAGAAGAGAGAGGGATACAAGAAGGGCAGTTGTACCCTCTACAATAGGATCCAGTAACACCTACCAAGTCTACAATTATATATATAATATATATCATTTAACACATCCCCTAGGCTTGGTAGCCGAAAGCACACCAGGCACACAGCACACTAAGCCACACACAATGGCAGTGTCAAATTCTCTAAAGAAATGCATTTTTTATTCTGGAAAACCCATCTAAACAAAGCTTTGTTCTAGCTTGGCGAGACAGCCCAATCCAAAGCTAAGCTAAAAATCCTAATGCAGAGCCAGAAACACCCTGTCTTGCTGCTCGTGGCAGATGGCATTGAAGTCCTAAATATCAGAAATGAGTATTGAATGATTGTAAAGTGAGAGTACACACAAGTATACCTAAGTGTTGTACCCTCTAAGAGGTAACCCTATACAGTCTATACAAACATGACAAATGCAGATGTTTGACACACCCCCTAGACTGCATAGGGGAATACCCTAAACAAGCAGCTCAGGGCGGCACTACTAGTCCAACCTCTGAGACAAGGGTCTGAGAGACCAGTCAGAAGGAGTACAGACAAGGCAAGAACAAGACCAGGGCGGCACTACTAGTCCAGCCACTGGGAGAGGACACAAGTCCAGTCTGAGTATACATATAAAGGACAGTACAAGTCAAGGTCCTAGCAAGTGAGAGGCTACAGGAACTAGACCAAGCTGTACACAGTGCCGCTGATGATCTTTAGGCGCAAGCGCCTTCGTAAAGATATCAGCTGTGTTGGCACCAGAGGCCAAGTGAACTACGCGGGGCTGGCAGCGCTGCTATAGCTCGCGCAGGAGAAAGTACCGCAGCTGAATGTGCTTCGCTCTGCCCTCAAGCCGAGGCTCCTGACACAGGAGGATCATGGCCCTGTTGTCAGCGTACAAGACCGGGGCAGAGCTAGGCCGCTCACCTAAGTCAGTGAGCAAGAAGGTCAGCCAGCGGAGCTCCTGTGCCGCCATGGCACCAGCGTAGATCTCAGCCTCACGGCTGGACTGAGCAACAGACGACGAGCGAGTGGATCTCCAAGAGATAGCACCCGAACCAAGGCTAAAGCAGTAGCCCTGCGACGACCTGAGCGTCTCAGAGTCATCTGCCCAAGGCTCGTCTGTGTGCCCAGTGAGGACCACTGGCCTGCGTCCTCCTAACACTAAACCCATACCGGATGTACTTGCTAGATATCGCAAAACCCTCTTAGCGGCCGACCAGTGCTGTGGTCGGTGTCTGCCAGTGGCCACAAAACGAGCCAGGATGCTGAGAGGGTATGCGAGATCTGGGCGAGTGCAAGTCATCAGGTACATGAGGCAACCCACCAGCTCTGCGTAGGGGCCGCTGGGCTCTACTGGCTCCTCAGGAATGGGAGCGGAGAGCCCGTGGTCTACGGGTAGAGGTGTGGGCTGTGCAGAGGAGAACTGAAGGCCGAACCTCTGAAGGACCTGACGCACCAAGTGTGACTGTGTCAGAGTGATGGTGCGTGCTGCTCTGTCCGTAGAGATCTGCAGGCCAAGATAGCGACGCAGCTCTCCAAGGTCAGTGCAGGTGTGTCTCTTCAGCAGCTCGGCCTTCACTGAGGCCAGTGCGTCCCTGTCAGCAGTAGCAAAGACCAGGTCGTCTACGTAGACAAGGATGTAGAACGGAGTCTGGCCGGACCGCACAAAAAGCGATGGGTCAGAGGACGACGGAAAGAACTTCAGGTCTGCTAGCGTGGCACGCAGCGTGTCGTGCCACTCGCGGGGAGCCTGGCGCAGGCCGTAGACCGGGCGCCTGAGAAGCCACTGGGTCCCAGGGGGGAAGGTACCAGCGAAGCCCTGTGGTCGGCGCAGGTAGACCTGCTCGTGTAGGCTGCCCTGAAGAAAGGCAGTAGAGAAGTCGAGGGAGTGAAGCTCGTAGTCGCGCTGTGCTGCTACGTGTAGCAGCGCCCAAAGAGTGGTCATCTTCGAGCTCGGGGCGAAGGTTTGGAAGAAGTCCACCCCCTCGCGCTGACTGAAGCCTCTGGCCATGTAGCGCGCCTTGAAGACAGGCGACTCTCCTGGGGGGCGCTTCACCTTGAAGAGCCACCGACCATCGACTACGTTCACCCCAGGTGGGGGAACTGCGTCGATGTAAGTGCCGGTGGACCTCCAAGATGCCATCTCCTGCTCCATGGCAGCTATCTACTGAGAGGCCCAGGGTCCCGAAGTGGCCTCAGCGTAGGTGCGAGGGGTCGGGATGTCAAAGGCGTCTGGGTCACCCTCAGGGACTAGCAGCATGGAGCAGAGATGGGGAGAAGCCTCGGAAAGGAAAGCAAGCTCGTACTGCCTGTCCTTTAGAACGTCACTGCCAAGGGCAGGTGCACCCCCGACGGACGGAGGACGGGCAGGGTCAGAGACCAGAGCAGTAGCGTAGTCAAGGCGGCGGGTAGAGGCGAAGTCAGCGACAGCAGCGACAAGCGCGTCAAGGCGCGAGACGGGAACAGAAGGGTCGGTAACAAGAGAGGCAAGAACCCGAGGGACAAGGGGACGAGCGGCACGGAGGTAGTCAGAGAACGGAGGAGGCGAAACAACAAGGGACGAGGGAGGAGGGGACGGGAGGAGGGGAGGACGAGACGAGCGGGAACGGAGCAACATAGGGTGGGAGCGCAGGACAGGAGAGACGGGACGAGCACGAGAGGGACGACGAGAGCAAACGTGCGACGGAGGTGTAGGGTCAGGAGACAGTGGAGGGGACACAGGAGGAGAACGAGGAGGAAGCCGGGCCGGAGACGAGTCCAGCGGCGGGAACACAGGACCATAGACAGGAAGGTCAGCAGACGGCGGGGAAGACACCGGGGAGCGGTCTGGGGAGGGAAGGCCGAGCAAGCGGAGAGCGGAGACCGGCGGCGACTGTGTCGGAACACTCGGACCGACAGAGGGAGGACGACCGGTGGCGGAACTCTCAACAGCAGCACCCCCAGAACCAACACCCCCTGAGCGAGGACCTCCTCCAACACCAGCGGCACCCCCAGAAGCTGCAGGACGAACACCCTCCGCCACGCGAGCAGCCGTAGGGGCCAAGAGCGGCGGCGGCAGCGACGACGGCAGCGACGACAGCGGCGGCGGCGACGGCGGCAGCGGCTGCGTCAGAGGGGGCGACTGCGACCGTGGAGGCAAAGACACCGGGGGAGGGGGACACGGCACGGACGGACCAGGTGTACCACCAGAGTCAGCGGACTCCTCAACAGGGACAACCGACTGGAGGGGAGTGACGTGAGAGACACCAGACGGAGCAGGGCAAGGCGGGGGAGGCGCAGGGGCTACCGGGGGAGAGGGAGCAAGGAACAGGGGCGGGGCAACCGGGAGACCTCGGTGAGGGAAGCGACGGTAGAAGGAGACAGACTCGTCAAAGGTGACGTTACGAGAGTGGAGGAAGCGGTGAGACGGGGGGTGGTAGAACAGCCAGTCAGACGAGTCAAGGGGGAAACCAAGGAAGACACAGGGGACCGTGCGGGCAGTGAGCTTGTCCGTGCCAGAGGCACGAACGTGAGCAAGACAGCCCCACACGTGGAACGTAGACGCGTCACCAGGGGACCCGGTCCAGAGGAGGGTCGGCGAAACCTGTGGCCGCTGAGAGCGTGGCCACAAGTTAAGCTGGTGAGCAGCGTAGCGAACAGCGAACGACCACAGAAAATGGGGGGCATCAGCATGAATCATGGAGGTACGAGCAACCTCCATGACCAAGCCAATGCGGCGCTCAGCAACCCCATTCTGCTGTGGCGAGTCCGGCAAGGTGTACGTCTGGGTGATGCCCTCCGCACGACAGAACTGTCCAAGCCGACCAGAGGCGAAGTCGCCGCCACGGTCAGAGTGGAGACACAACACGTGGAGACTGTAGCGAAGACGCGCAGCCACAACCCACGGTAGAAGAACGTCGGGCATGTCGGCCTTCCGCTTCAGAGGAAACACCGTGGTGTAGCGCGTATAGTCGTCGACGAGCACAAGGAAGTAGCGCTCACCGCGTGGTCTGGGGACGGGGGCAAGGCCCCAGACGTCCAGATGCAAGGTCTGGAGGGGGGCAGTCGCAGGGCGCAGCAAGGAGGAGTGAGGAGCACGGCGGAGGCGACCCTCGACGCAAGGAGGAAGGGCAGGGAGCAACGCGGGGAGACCTAAGACAAGACCGTGCTGGGACATGTGACGCAGACGAGGGAGAGCAGGGTGACCTAAGCGGTGGTGCCAGAGAAGGGACGGGTGAGTGAGGGAACGACACGAGCAAGCTGCAGCGACCTGGGAGGACGCACCAACCGGGGGGGAAGCGGTGTCGAGGGTAAACAGACCGGACACCGAGTCCCGGGGGAATGTCGCAAGAGGGGAACCTGAGACAGCCTCAGAACAGACAGCGAACCGCTCGTGCCCGGGGAACGTGGTGGTGACGCCGAGGTCCTGGAGACAGCTGACACCAACCAGGTTCCTCGAGAACGAGGGAACGTGGAGGCCTGTAAGGGAGCCCGAGGGAACTGCAGGACAGGGAAGGGACGTAGAACTGCGAGCAACGACAAGACCCGCGGAGGGGTCAGCGAGAGAGACGACAGCAGGTGTAGCAAGCGGCGTGAGCGCGGAGCGGTCGCGGAAGAAGCAGGCAGAAGCACCGGAGTCGAGAGTGAACGACAGCGATGCAGTGGCGGAGGCCGGGAACGGGGCCGGTGCTGTTAGGATTAAGGACGGAGTCTAGGTGAACTTAGGAGCTAGAATTACTCAAAATATAAATCCGAAATTCTGGGCAGAAAAGTCGTCTTCACAAGAAACGACGTCGACAAAAAGCTAGCCGTTGGAATTTTGCGAAACTTGAATATGTTGTAGCTCTTAATCTCAGCTACCGTTCACAATTTGAATCATGTTGATTGATGAAGTATTCGCGACGCTATGGCTTTCGACGCACTAGGGGGTAAGCTGTAGGAGGAGAACTTAACTCAATCTCAAGAGTTCAATCAAAGTTCAAGAATCTCACAAGGAATTAGAGGAGGAAGAGAAAGGTTGGGATAGAAGAGAGGGATGAAAGGGAAGGTCCCAAGAGAGTCCCCAACCAAGGAAACCCCATAAGCTCAAAGATTCCCTCCCTATAGGAACCCCAACTTTGACATTTGTCCCTTCCCAACCAATCCATCCAAGTTGGCCACCCTTGCCAACCTAGCTTGGTTGTTCCCAACCAATTTGCAGCTGTTACAGTGAGTGAAAAATTTCCCCCACCCCCAAAGGTCCCAACTCCATATAGAGTCACCCCACAACTTCACTTTGTAACCGCCGCAATTGTAACGCAAGCTCATGAACTTTGAATCTTCATAGCTTTCGCGTTCTTGCTCCGATTGAAGCGATTCTCGTTGCGTCGGAAAGATCTTCTCAAGATCTATCATCAAAAAAAACCTGCTCAAACAAAATAACACAAAACACATTCCCAAACTCCAGAACACATCACACACAAATTCTTGCACACGTTCAAACCACAGATGCAAGTTGAAAAAATATAGGATGGGAGGCAGACAGAATGTGATAGCATATGATGACATCACACAACAATCTCCCCCTCTGGCTGCCAACCATCATCCACCATACCAACATCTCAAGCATGCATACTCAATGCACACTCATCCGAGCAAGCTTCATGCCCTTCCAATGATCCGCCTCCGCCAGACGCTTGGTGAAAATATCTGCTGCCTGTTGATGGGTCTTCACTATCTCCAGCCGCACCTCCTTATCAAGGAGTCTCCTCACCCAGTGCCACTTAGGCCTTATGTGTTTTGTCAGCCCATGCAGACAAGCATTCTTGGCGAGCTTCACTGCAGACTCATTGTCATTGAACACAACTGTCGGCTCCTCCTGACCAACTCCCAACTCCTCCAACAAGCGCCTCAGCCACACCACTTCCTTGGCCCCATGGTGTAAGGCCATGTACTCAGTCTCACATGAGGACAATCCCACCTCATTCTGCTTCTTGCTGCGCCAGCTCACAGCACCACCTCCTAGCAAGCACACATAACCCCCAATGCTGGTGCCATCCGCTTTCACTGAGTTGAAGCTAGCGTCAGTATAGCAACTCAAGAGCATCTCTCCACTCTTCACATCTGCAGCACCTCTCTGCAACCGCTGCCTCAATCCACTGTACTTCAATCCCACTGATGCCGTAGCGCTCACATAGCGGACCAACCTCTTGGCCGCTTCCAGCTGCTCATGACTAGGGCGTGAGACCACACTAGCCAATCGTGATGTAGCAAATGCAATGTCAGGCCGTGTATGATTTGCAGCATAATTCAGCGACCCAACCATCGAATGAAACAGCTTCCTGTCACTATCACCCACTACCTCCTCATCAGCACATGGCTCCACAGTGAACCCCGAAGGTAGTGGTGTTGCTGGCTTTCCCCCATCTTGCAGCCCATACTTCTCAGCCAGCCCCTCACAGTACTTCCTCTGGTGCAACCTCAGCACACCCTTCTCCACATCTCTCTCCACATGCATCCCCAAGTAGTACTTCACCTCACCCATCTTGGAACACTTGAACTGCATCTCCAGCATCTGCTCTGCGCTGTCCAGCAAAGCAGTTGATGCAGAAAAGAGAAGGATATCATCCACGTACACCAAGAGCATGAGGATTTCATCCTTCTCCTGCAGCAGGAACAGGCTGGGGTCACACTCACTCTTCTTGAAACCCCCAGCCAACAGCGCCTCCTCCAACTTGTGATACCATGCACGAGGCGCCTGCTTAAGGCCATAGATGGCCTTCTTCAGCCTGCAGACCCTGCCGCTCCCATCATCCAGCCCCTCTGGCTGCTCCATGTACACCTCCTCCAGAATGATCCCATTAAGAAAGGCAGTCACAATGTCCATCTGCCGTATCTTCCATCCCAGGAGTGCAGCTATCGCCAACAGCACCCTCAGTGTTGTTCCTTTCCCCACAGGAGCAAAAACCTCATCATAGTCCTTCCCCTTTGTCTGCTGAAACCCCCGTGCCACAAGCCTAGACTTGTAGCGGGTCAGCTCCCCTTCAGGTCCATACTTGTGCCTGTAGATCATCTTGGAAGTGATTGCCTTCTTCCCAGGAGGCAAGTCACACAGGTCCCATGTCTCGTTTTCAATCAGGGACCCGAACTCCTCATCCTCACTCGCCTTCCACTTCTCCCCATTTGGTCCATTCAAGGCCTCCTCTCGAGTCTTGGGCTCAGGGATTGGTGCCCAGTAGCAGTGAGCGATCTCATCTTCCTCAATCTGCTCAACCACACTCCCAGCCTGACCACATTTGGCTTGCCTCTTCCCCCATAGGTCAGCCTCACAGGAGGGCGCACATCCCTCCTAGGTCGCTCAGGCGGGTGTGGAACTCGAGATGGAGACTCATGTTGCTGCTGCTGCTGCTGCTCCACTTCAGCTGCTCCCCCTTCTTCAGTCACCCCAGACATCTCCTCCTCAGACACTGCAACCTCCACCTGCCTTGAAGGCTGCTGCAACTCATCTGCCTCCACAATGAGTGGTGTAGATGGAAGCTTCTGTTGCTGCTGCTTCCATTCCTTGTAGTACAGGGACTCAAGAAACTTCACATCCCTTGACACTGTCAGCTTCTGGGTGGTCAAGTCCCATAGCAGCCATCCCTTGTGATCCTTTGCAATCCCCAAGTGCACACCCCATCTTCCAGAAGCCTCCAACTTCCCTCTTTTCTCCTTAGGCACATGAAACACTACCATGCACCCAAATGCCCTCAGCATATTCACAGCTGGAGCACTCCCATACCACTTGGTATATGGGATCCACTCCTTATCCCCAACTGTAGCCAGCACCCTATTCTTCACAAGGGCGACCTGCCTCAGTGCAGACACCCAAAACGGATCAGGCAGCCCTGCACGCCCAAGGAGAGTGCGTGCCCCCTCATGCAGGGTCCTGTTGAACCTCTCAGCCACCCCATTCTGCTGTGGATTGTAGGGCACTGTCAGTTGATGCTGGATCCCCTTCCTCTTCAACTCCCCCTCAAAATCAGCTCCAATGAACTCCCCACCATTGTCACTGCGGATCACCTTCACCTTGTGTCCGCATTCCCTCTGAGCTCTAGGCATCCACTCCTTAAGGACAGCCGCTGCCACCTCCCCCTTGCTGTTCAAAGGGTAAACCCACACTGCCCGAGTGTGGTCATCCACAATTGTCAAGAAATAGCGGCTGCCTGAGAGGGAAGGGGCTCTTGTGGGCCCCACCACATCCATGTGCACAAGTGCAAGTGGGGTCTTGGCTGGTCCTGTTGCACTGTTGAAGGGGAACTTGGAGAACTTGGTCTCCAAGCATGTAGGGCAGCTCGCAATCTCCTTCACTTCCCCTTTCACCTCCAAGCCCTTCAGGCTCCCATTCTTCACCAACTTCTGCAGCATAGGGAAGTTCACATGACACAACCTCTCATGCCATGTCTCCCAATCGGCCTCTCCACTCCTTGATGAAGCCTTAGCCCATGCCGCACTCGCATCCACACAAGCAAGCACCTCACCATGTGTCTGCTGCTGCTGCAATTTCTTGACTGCTTCCAGGACCCCATCAGTTGGTGCAGTTGCATCTCCTCCTGCTGTTGCCTTTGCCGCTGCTGCCGTTGCTGCTGTTGGAGTCTTCCCATTCCAAGGGATGATGGGCAGCTGCCACAGGTCCTTGATGCAGCTGGTCTCTTCTTCCAGACTCCACAGCACCTTCTTCCCAAGCTTAGCACGGCAGCTGGTTGGTCCAAAGGTCACTTCGGCCTTGCTCTTCTGCAGTCGTCGCACAGAGAGAAGGTTAGCAGACAAGCCTTCAACCAGCAGAACATTCCCAAGCCCTACAAGCTCCCCATTAGCTCCCTTAACCTTGGCATTTCCAACACCAATGACAGGGAGCAAAGCACCTGATGCTGCTGCCACATACTTGATCTTCCCAGGGGGTTTTACCTCATCAAGCAAATCTGCCCGTGGGGTCATGTGACTGGTGCAACCCGAATCAATCACCCAGTGCGTGAGAGGGTGCATCACAACCTTTCCCACAGATCCCACATCACCCTCATGCCCATGCACATCCTCAACCATAAGAAACAAACCAGGATAGGCATTACCTTGTGCACCTTCACCTTGTGCACCTGAGCCTTGCACAGCGCCACCTTGTGCGCGTTCACCACTGGGCGGCTTCATGCCTGGAGGTGCCCATCCCTCCGGCCTGCTGAAGCACTTGAACCAAGGATGCCCGACCTTCTTGCAGTACCAGCAGGTGCCCTCCATTCTGGTACTCCCCCTGCCACTGGAGCTCCCATGCCCCTCATTATAGTCACCTCGGCCTCTACCTCTGCCAAAGCTCCTCCCACGGCCTCGGCCTCTCCAACCCCCTCTTCCTTTGCCGCGCCCTGCAGCTCCATACCCCTCAGCAGTCTTCGTGGCAGCACCGCCTCCCACATGGCGTCTACGGAAGTCCTCCTGCAGAATCTGCTGCCTTAGCCACTCAGGTGTCCATTGATCTTGCTCAGAGTTGAGGGTGGGGATGAGGTTGTCCCAAGAGTTGTCCAACACCGAGATGATCTTGGTGCACTGCTGCAGCTGAGATACACTGCTGCCCGCTGCTGCCATCCTTGCATAGGTGTCCTTGATCTTGTCAAGGACCGGCTTCACATCGTCCCCTGGTCGCATGGAGATGGCAGCAAGTTCCTTCTCGAGCATGATCACCATTGGGAGAGTGTTGGGCTGAATCACATCACGTAGCAGTTTCCACGCCCTTGGACCCGAATCATCCGCTTCCACAAGATCCTTGATGTGCTCGAACATCTCCTTGTTGACCGATTGAAGAATGAGGTCGAAAAGCACCGCGCTTTTCTCAATCCACCGTTCGCGTGCTTCGCCTTCCTCCGGCATCTTCTCCTCCCCAACAGCAATCTTCAGGAGCTTGTAGCGTTTGAAGGCACTCCTCATCCGCCCGCTCCATTCCTCATAGTTGGAGCCATCCAAAGCGTCAACTTTTGATGGCGGCGGCTCACTTGGCTTCTCAGGTACAGCTCCTCTTCCATTAGCATCTCCTCCTCTCTCATTCATCTTCTCCTTGAGAAATGACGAATTTCAGCTCCCCTTTGCTGTCCACACTCAGCTCCCTCGATATTTTCACAAGTGTCGGCGTCCACGAAATTTCGGCAGAGTTTCCCCTTAGCGGAAGACACATCCAACCTTTAGAACACCACTTAGGCACACCCACAGGCCATGGTGGGTCTAGAAGGGTCTTCAAACTTCTGTAGACTCCTCTCAATGTCCTTAATATGGCTCTGATACCACTTGTTAGGATTAAGGACGGAGTCTAGGTGAACTTAGGAGCTAGAATTACTCAAAATATAAATCCGAAATTCTGGGCAGAAAAGTCGTCTTCACAAGAAACGACGTCGACAAAAAGCTAGCCGTTGGAATGTCGCGAAACTTGAATATGTTGTAGCTCTTAATCTCAGCTACCGTTCACAATTTGAATCATGTTGATTGATGAAGTATTCGCGACGCTATGGCTTTCGACGCACTAGGGGGTAAGCTGTAGGAGGAGAACTTAACTCAATCTCAAGAGTTCAATCAAAGTTCAAGAATCTCACAAGGAATTAGAGGAGGAAGAGAAAGGTTGGGATAGAAGAGAGGGATGAAAGGGAAGGTCCCAAGAGAGTCCCCAACCAAGGAAACCGCATAAGCTCAAAGATTCCCTCCCTATAGGAACCCCAACTTTGACATTTGTCCCTTCCCAACCAATCCATCCAAGTTGGCCACCCTTGCCAACCTAGCTTGGTTGTTCCCAACCAATTTGCAGCTGTTACAGTGAGTGACAAATTTCCCCCACCCCCAAAGGTCCCAACTCCATATAGAGTCACCCCACAACTTCACTTTGTAACCGCCGCAATTGTAACGCAAGCTCATGAACTTTGAATCTTCATAGCTTTCGCGTTCTTGCTCCGATTGAAGCGATTCTCGTTGCGTCGGAAAGATCTTCTCAAGATCTATCATCACAAAAAACCTGCTCAAACAAAATAACACAAAACACATTCCCAAACTCTAGAACACATCACACACAAATTCTTGCACACGTTCAAACCACAGATGCAAGTTGAAAAAATATGGGATGGGAGGCAGACAGAATGTGATAGCATATGATGACATCACACAACAGGTGCAGAGACTGGGCTAGGCAAACTAGGCAGTCCTACGCATGACGCAGCAAGGGAAGCTATGCTACACAAGGGTGCAACACCTAAGCTGGAGAACACAGGATAATAAGATCCAGTAACACTAGCAACGTCAGAATACAAAGCATGCAAAGCAGCACCTATCTGATCCATGTCTAACTCAAAGATCGGCACGCCCTGGCGGAGCAGGCTGTGCCAGTCAGGGAGGTCCGAGGCCGGGCCAAAGCGACGACGAAAAAGATCGTCAAGGCGGCGAAAACAGCGGGCAGTCGGGTGCGGGCGGTGACACAGAGTGCCGCGAAGAGGCCCGGTCTGAAGCTGGTACTGGCAGGTCACAGCACCGGAGCCGCTGGTAGACGCCGAGCTGCGCGGGCCGCCACCACGGCCACCACCTCCGCCGGTGCCAGGCCAACCAGGCGGGAGACGAGCCCACTGCTGCGGCGGCTGCTGCTGGGGCGACGGCTGCTGCTGGGACGGCGGCGGCGGCTTGGGCTGCACCTGCTGCGGCGGGGGTTGCTGCTCCTGCCGACCAGTGGTAGTCCCAGCAGGCAGACTACCGTCACTACCACTAACACCACCACCACCACCTGCGCCACCACCCCGACCTCCCTGGCGACCACGGCCATTGCGGCGCGAGCGCTGCTGCGGGTGGACCGCAGCAGCCGTCTCGGTGGGAGGGGGCACCGTGGCGACCGCAGCCGAAACGTCAGTGAACGTGCACTGGGAGGGGGCACAGCCGTGAAAGATAGAGACCGCCGGTGCACCGCTCGACTGAGAGATAGTGCGCTGGCGAGTCTCGATCTCGGTGAGGGTGTTGACAAAGGCAGTGAGGGTGAGGTCAACCGGGTGCTGGCTAAGGAAGTGATCGCGGGCACTAGCGAGGCGGTCCGGCAGGCGCATGGCGATGAAATAGAGCGTCATGCAGAAAGGAGGGGGGAGCGCAGTGAGCTGTGCAGCAGTGCTGGCAGTGCGATAGCGGGTCTCTAGGGCACGTAGAGGCAGACGCGGGTGTGGAATAGCGGGCAATGACTGCGTCTAAGTAGGCTTTGGCCGTCGCAATGGTAGCAAAACTCGAGCGTTCAGACACAGGGAGGGCGTGGCTAATAGCAACCTGAGCGACCGCATCGCGGGAGTCCCAGACAGCACAAGCAAGTGCAGCAGTAGAGAAGGTCTCACGGGCATCAGAGGAGGGGTCAACAGGGAGGGGAACGGGCACAGGGGGGCGGGGGAGCAAACCATCGACATGGACAACCAAAGAGTGGCCATCCTGACGCTGACCTGTAAGGTGGCGGCGGAGGTCAGAGAGCCAGGCGGCGAAGTCAACCGCGTGGCCCTCGGCGTCCAGTCGGAGCACGAAGTCAGCCATCGTGCAGGGTCAGCGGCACAGCTCCGCAGGAACAGGACGGCAGGGCCCTCCAACACGACGGCCGCAAAACGGTGCCCCAGCACGTGCGAGCAAGTACGAAGAGGCGCCGGCCGGTCAGGCACGGCGGGTGAGGCACGGGAGGTGCGGCAGGGCCAGGAGGTGCGGCAGGGCCGGGCAGGCGCGGCGGGGCCACGCAGGGGCGGCGGGGCCAGGAGGCGCGGCAGGGCCAGGCAGGCGCGACGGGGCCCGGCAGCGCGGCGGGGTCGGGAGACGAGACGGGGCCAGGCAGGCGCGACGGGGCCAGGCAGCGCGGCGGGGCCAGGAGACGCGGCGGGGCCAGGCAGGCGCGACGGGGCCAGGCAGCGCGGCGGGGCCAGGAGACGCGGCGGGGCCAGGCAGGCACGACGGGGCCAGGCAGGCGCGACGGGGCCAGGCAGGCGCGGCAGTGCCAGGCAGGCGCGGCAGTGCCAGGCAGACGCGGCAGGGCCAGGCAGGCTCGACAGGGCCGGGCAGCGCTGCGGGGCCAGGAGACGCGGCGGGGCCAGGCAGGCGCGACGGGGCCAGGCAGGCGCGATGGGGCCAGGCTGGCGCGACGAGGCCAGGCAGGCGCGGCAGTGCCAGGCAGGCGCGGCAAGGCCAGGCAGGCTCGACGGGGCCAGGCAGCGCGGCGGGGCCAGGAGACGCGGCGGGGCCAAGCAGGCGCGACGGGGCCAGGCAGGTGCGGCAGTGCCAGGTAGCGCGGCGGGGCCAGGCAGGTGCGGCAGTGCCAGGCAAGTGCGGCAGTGCCAGGCAGGCGCGACGGGGCCAGGAGACACGGCAGGGCCAGGCAGGCGCGACGGGGCTAGGCAGGCGCGGCGGGGCCAGGCAGCGCGGCGAGGGCCAGGCAGGCTTGACGGGGCCAGGCAGGAAAAAATATTGAATGCGAGCAGGTACGAAGAGGGAGAATGACACGAGCGGCACGGTCCCGGTAGGCGGTGTGGCGCGCGAAGACGGCACGGCGGATCGACGATGCGCACAGGAGACGAGGCAGGCGCGATGCGATTATGGCGCGAGGAACATGGGCTGGAGGAAATGAGCATGCGGCATGTGCATGTTTACGAAACAAAAGCCATAGGCGGCATTATGGAGTTGGTCGACCTTGAAAGTTTGGCTAGCCGACTCGCCACGTCGGACTTGCACATTTCAATGTTTAGCCGTGCGGCTCGAAGTTTAGCCAACCACAACTTGCCGGCCTGAATTCGTGCGACGGGGGTCTACGATCAGCTGCGACCAAGGGCGAAACGTGCTTTCTGCCGGCCACGCCAAGGAAATATGACGTCGACCACGCCACAAGAGCAGCACCATCCTGCCCGGCGCACGAACAGCCGTCAAACTGCGAATGCTTCACACTTCTTGACCAAAGCCTTCATCAAACCTTAAAGCCCAGGTCCCAAGTTACAAGACGCGAGCAGGGCTGAAAATAACAGGGTTATCACCCTGTCTTGACTGAAAATCCAAGGTGTTTTCAATCGTAGCCCGTATTTCACATAGGCATTTCCCCAGCCAGCCTGGAATTACACAAGGAGAAATTTTGTGGGACCTGTTTTTATCCGGACCAGGGCAACCCGGACCTTTTCCCCTCTCCAAACCTCTTCCCCCCTCTCTTCCCCCCCCCCCCCCCCCCCCAACCCGCCCCCCTCCTCCCAACCCCCCTACCAAACACTTCCAATCCCTTTTTTTCTGGCCTCAACTTTTGCCCCCGCCCAAATTTGCCGCCCTCCCCAATTCCCTCCCTCAAATCTCGTCCCACACCTCTCAAAGTGCGGTACATTCGGGAGCCGCCTTGCTGGAAGTCGGGGTTATGCTATTCTGTATGACTTGCAGATTTTGTCCCCGTCTTGGGCGGTGAGTGACCCCCTCCGCCCTCTTCCCCTCGGTCGTGGTGCTGCAGGAGCGAGGCCAAACCCGATTGCCCTACCGAAGTAGTGGTGTGGGCACATTTTTTCCCACCCCTCAATAATTGGTGGTGGCTCTCAGGCCTTTTTCGGCTCGGACCCTGATTCATCCGAGCAATTTTAGGCTCGGCTCAGGTTTTACAAGGGTTTTTTCAAATGGGCCCAAATCATCCGAACAGGAAACCTAGCTCAGGCCCTGGACGCGAGCCTTTTTGTTGAAGCCCGCGGCCCAAATTGCGAGGCGCGACCTTCAAACGTACTGCGTTTGAAAGTCACGTTTTCGTGGGTGAAGATAGGGGTAACGTGACTCACGTCACTCGGGGCTGGCTTTCAAGTTCAGTGCGGAACGTATTTTGGGACACCCGGTGCCTCGCGTTTTTAGCTGTCCAATATTTAGGGATTTCCATCTGATGGCGTGCAAGTAAAGTGGTTCCCCCAGTCAATCGAAATGTAATCTCAGCCGTCGCACTACCTGCTTGCAAATCAGAAGATCTACGACAAATTGCGAATTCACGAGATGAAACACCCTCACGATTTATTTGTGTATTTCGTCCAAGCCAAGGCTCACAGTTCATACGCAGTGCGTATGAACAATTTGGGCCGCAGGTTTTAACAATTTCGGAGGTGGTCTGAGTGGTTATCCTGTAAAATTTCAGAACAGTGAACAAGTGGGGGGAGCATGGAGAAGGGAAGCTTGTGATTGGACGCTGGGGGAAAACGGGTTTCGCCAACCCCAGTAGAGACTCCAATCGAGGGAGGGAAGGGCCAAGGGGAAGAACCTAAGCTTGCAATTTGGGACTACCATAAACCGTTTTTACAAAACGGAGTCATGCGTAGCATTTCCCGGCCT